TGATATATATATATATTTATATATAGAATATATTATAATCTCTCTACCGGTCAAGGTTGGATCTGTGGTAGTGGCTGTCTCACACCAATTGATTGAAAGACATGCACTATAAGATCGACCTTAAAATAGATCCCCAAAGATAAATTCTTCTCCTACAAGGGTTGGCCATAACATTGACACCCCTTCCCCACACCCCCAGGGGGTGTTTTCAAGCCAGGTTGGGAACCAGGGCTCTACTAGGTTAAAATACAAAGTTTACCTCCAACGACAATATTCACTTCCTATACTGAGCCAATCCTAATTATCTGCTCTCTTCTTCTATTTCTTATACCGGTATGGTGTAAGATGAATTAATGAGGGATTTGGACAGAAGGTTCTGTCCGTTGATTCTGGATCTATGAAATCCTTTGAAGCAATCGTTGAAGCAGCTTGATTTAAACTTTCTAATTCGTTTGATTCTTGAGAAATTATGTGAGTTTATTCTTCTTCCATGGTTGGCTGGCTGAACAAAAAAAATAGTAGGTCCATGATATTATTGAAGAAGTTGGATATCTTACTAGCCTGGTAGGAGAACTCATATATTTTATGACCTGGGGAAAAAATTCCCAAAGAAATTATTTTTATTTCAAAGTACATGCCTATTGTCTGTCAGAGCAAATTGAAAAGTTTTTTGAATTTTTTTGATTTTTTTTTGAGAATTGGAACACCATCCACAATATGCGTTGATAAAAATATGATCTTTTGTACGTTGACATTGAGAAGAAACACATTTCTCTCCTAGAAATTTCAATCCAAAAAAGCTGAAAATTGTCCTTTGTACAAACAAATTTGAAAACATGTGTGCTTATGTTTATATTTGTATCAACGCATAGACATTCTTAGACTAGCAGTACTATTTCGTGGATGATTTTAATCTTGAAAACATGTAAATAGTTTTCAGAAGTTCACTCAGTATACTAAAATAAGCGATTATCAGATTTTTCTGAGTGTCGGGACCACTGATTTGTGTCGTAATTCGGAATACACAAGAGTGTCGGAGTACTCAGAGTTTTTTAAAACTAGCCTAAGAAGGAAATCAATCGGAACCAGAAAATGATGTCGGATTACGCAGAATGTCGGAATACTCAGATGTCGGATATCACACGGTACACTGACTAGAAATGTACGAAAATTGCATAATTCCTTCAAAAATATCTCA